ATGCCACTTGGATCTGGGTATGACCGGCTGAAGACGGCTCATAAGCCGCAAACGGTGATCCTAGTCTCCCTTGTCTTTGTCGGTTATGTCCTTCTGCCTATATCATTAGCCGCTTTACGGCGTAGGCTCGAGTGTGAGCTCCAAAGGCCCCATAGACGGACGAGTGTGTCCTCTAACTAATATCATATTTTGACACAAAGATGCTCTGTTGCATTGTCGCCGATTCGTTGAGTTGGCGAGTAAAAGACTTCTAAACTGCACACAAAGTCGCAGTGTCCGGACCAGACAGTGCTTGTAAAATCTAAGTGTTCAAAGCGCAGGCCACAAAAACATTAGAATAGTGTCTTGATGCAGCCACCAGTTGATTTTTAACAAACTGACATAAGTGAAATCAGTTGATATATTTCACTCCTAGATGCACACGAGTTGCAGTCAGTTATCTGTTTCGGTGCCTCATTACTTAGCTTGATAGCTATCTATTGATACAAAAAGATGATCCTGAAAAGGCATAAGAACAGTGTGGGTAGGTATACATTCCCTGGAAACTTTATATCACGAGAACTCTACTATAAAGGCTAATTGTTTGAGATTCTACGACCAAAGGCTAAAAAGAGAGAGGACACCTTACCGGGTAATCGGAAGCAGGGTCACACTCCGGATCAAGTGACGAGAAGTCAGATCCTTTGAGAAATGCGGTCACCTTCTCGAATTTTGCCGGTTTAGGCTGTTTTTCGAGTTCAGTAGCGCTTGGTTCAGTCTCTGACCCCAATGTTTGGATGGCTTCAATCGTGATCCATTCAGATAATCGGGTAGTGACCACATCAGCAAGGTCAGCCGTAGGATCCGAAGGTTTCTGCGGCACATCGGTCAAATGTTCCTTTGAAGGAGCCTGTGATGACTCCACTGAAGAAGGTTTGTGTTCAACAATTTCAATATTTTTCGGTGCTGGAAAGGGTTCGCTCCACATTTTTCGCACTTGTGATTTGCTACCACTGACACCCTTAGGTGTCTTAGTCCGAGCGCTTTGGTCAAGACCGTCGTCAGAATCTTCAGGCGTATCTTCCTCACTCTCGTCCAAACTTGAATGATCGTCGTCGTCGTTGTCAACAGAGTCGGATTCCTCGCTTCCAGACTCTTCTTTCGAGTCGTCCAGTCGCAAACGGTGAATTCCGTGAAGTATCTTCTTGCCTGGAAGACCGTGCGCCGTGGGTGGAAGGAATTTTAGGTTGATCATGGGACCCTGATTCAGGGGACGACACCAGGCCGGTTCAGCTGGTATTTGTTTTCGGAGATAACAAGAAGCGCGGTAGCACCAGTCGGAACAAAAGTACTAGAAGAAAGGCATTCAGCAGTTCACATGCAACATATAATTTCTGTGATCAGGGGAGCTTACCGGTCTGGTTACGATAGAAACTGTCTGTTTTATTTAGCCTTAAAATTTAGTGTGGAGAGCTCGCAGGCAGTGGCGTACCGAAGCGACAAGCAAGGATACCAGAGAAATGTCAAGGCAAAGATGACCGGAGCGGTCAGTTGTGGCTTATTGGCCATCTTCAACCATTGGAAACTCAGGTTAGAGCAACGCGGGGTTCGGTCAACGACTTTTTGGTCAGTGGACATTTTTGAACCTAAACGTTCTACCACTGAGTTGTGGATACATTGTCATGTCGGCTGCGATAGGCAATACTAATGGACGTCACACAGGAGGGTAGAACGTTCGACCTAGTGTTCAGTGACCAAGGAGTCCGGGAAAGAGCCTCAAGTTATCCGAGCCTGGGTTTGGAATATGGCCGGCTGACGACGGTTAGTAAATCAGAAATAGTCAACCCCCGTCGCCCTCAACGATGCCGGCGTTATTCCGCGCGTACAGCTACTTAAATTAAACAAGTAGACACAATATACAGACAAACACAGGTTGCTTGCAGTGGTCGCCGCGCTGACAAAGCTGCAACCGCAACTGCCCCACAAAAGTAAAAACTCGAAAGTTAAATTTTTGATAGAAAAGACAAACGAGGCTTCCATAAAAATACTGGTACGAACCTTCCGGTCACCAACTTCGTAGACCTTTCTAGAAGCGGTCGATAT